TTTGATTCCCCCCCCCCCACCCATGTATATGTGCGAATTTTTTTCTATTTTAGTTTACATATGTACTTCACAGATTTAAAATTTAAAGGTTCAAGCTCACATGAAATTATAAATGTATTTATGATGTGAGCTCTGTAGTGGGTTTACGCAGAGTGCACTTAATCTCTAACCTTAGCTATCAATCATTTTATTTCATTTTAATAAAGTTCACGCTAGATTGAGACCAAAATAGTCAAATTTCGTAGCTTCTTCAAGTTCAATTAATACATTTTTTCCATTTATTACAGTCACGCTAGGGCCATATATTCACCCTGTGTAATATGTTCATGTTCAAATCTTGATTTTTAGTTTATTTCAATACAGTCCACGCTAGATTAAGACCACATAGTAATACTCTGGAACAGGAAGACGATATTGAAGCAATTTTATTTGTATTTAATGCTGTTGTAAAGTAAATAGTGTTATCAGTAGCTGGTAGATCAACTTATTAAGTGAAATGGGCTGTATACACTGAACAATTACCCTGTTTCATGTTCAATTGACTATTTAAAACAATAATTTATGTCTAAAACACTCTCCACATTACTGCAGAACGCACTGGAAGCTTAGTTGAGGGTAAACAATTTTATTTCTATTCCACAACTTTTTAGATCTCACTTTTAGTATGTTTATCTTCAAGTCTAGAAAAAAGATATAGTTGTTTAAACACACATTTTAAATACTCAACTAAACGAACTGTAAAAAAAAAACTAGGCGTAATGAAACAGAAAATAATATATTTGTTTCATAAAAACCACAAAAGTGAATTGTTGTGAAATTTCGACAAACTAGCTTGGATTAATTTTACAAATGGAGAATTAATCGATTAACTAATGAAATGTTCTTCCATAAGAAAAAACCTTATTGGTTGAAAAACCAAAAAAAGACAAAAAATGAAAGAAAATGTATATGAAGAACAATAATCTATAAGAAGAAATAGATACCTTAAGATTTTAATATTTAAAAAAAATTTAATACTATACAGTTTAAAGATTTAATACTATAAAGTAGACTGTTTAAAGATTTAATACTATAAAGTAGACTGTTTAAAGATTTAATACTATAAAGTAGACTGTTTAAAGATTTAATACTATAAAGTGGAAAATAAAAGGTCTAAAGTTAAGAGCAAATACTTTTTAAGTTGTGGAAAGAACCGAAGAAAGGAAGTGTTAAAATTCAATGTAAAAGTCAAGGATGTAATGCAAGGAAAGTTATTTCAGAAGTGTACACATCTTTTGTACTGCAGTGTACTGTCTCTGGGCGGTAATGTAAGCACAAGACGGATGTAAAAGCCTGACATGGGATCCATCTTTCACATAAAAAAATCAATGAAATACTTTGGTCATAGGAAACTATTATGTGAATTATTAAAATTATCAAAAATTAATGCTTTTAACCTCCTCGGATACTAAACGAACACTAAGGCATCTATTCTTGTTTACAAATTCCGCCCGAAGATAACTGGTTTCAATGTGTACGGAGAGTATACACGACCGTAATTAACTTTCCTTGCATTAACGCCTTGGTAAAAGTAGGATTTTGCCAAAGAATGGGGAAGAGTGGGTAAATTTTTCTAAAAGGGACGGGGGGACATTTTTCCTAAAAATATCTACATCTGTCTCCTTTTCAACGATAAACTTTCACATTTGTCATGATAGTGGTGTGCGCCAATATTAAACGATTGTTATTTTGGATCACTTACACAGAAGATTTTAGCACTAAACGTTTCTCCACACAATTTTTCTTGACACTAAACGTTTCCTGTCACAAAGCGTTTCACCACAAAACGTTTTCTCCACAAAATGACTCCTGCTACGAAATGTCTCCTCTCCTCCTACAAGATGTTTCTCTACGAAATGTTTTCTCCACAAAATGTTATTATGCTAAAAAATGTTTACTTTCATATATGTTTCCAGCTATATGTTAATTTGTACAAAAAATGAATGTAGAGACTTCATGATATTTATGATATAAATATATACCTAAAAATTTGAAATACTCTTATTTTATTTATGTTTAGTCTCCTAACGTAAAACTGAAATTTAACAAATTGGTTAAAAATGATAACATGTTAAAATGTGATATAGTTTTTTTTCAACAACTATATAAATACTTTACATGTTTATAAAAAAGATTTATAATGTTTACTAAACTGAATGAGAGTTAACACTTGTTAAAACGAAATAAAACTATTTTTTTTCAAGTGTCAATTAACACTAATTAGCGAACGTAAAACATGATTCTTGGAAGCTAAATATTTTTAAATAGAAGCTAACAAATAACAATTTGACCATTGGTCAAAATCCGTTTGCATTTTTTCACGAACTGAAGATCTCGTTTAAAAATGAATGTAGTTGTCTAGATCTAATATATTTATATACACATGTTGGCACTCATAACCCAGCACAGCTTTACCAACTCCAACTATCTTCATCTTCATTTATTCATTCAGGGGCGTAGCAGTTTATATTTATATATCCATAATCAAAGGTGTAG